CGTCCGCATGGGATTGAAGACTGCATACCAACACGGGGCTCATGAATTGGTCAGCTGTCATGGTGCCATCAAAAACGTCCACACTGCCGGTTCACAATGCAACCACGTGTGACGAACTCACGCGCATCTCGGTTGACCGATGTTAAACAGTTGTACCGGATACTAATGAGGACCTTTTTTCACCGAATATCTGTCAACTTTTTCACTCTATACTCAAAACTGAAAGCGCTTGGATTCTTAGGTAACACAAAATTGCATACGGTTCATGTTCAGCCGCTCCGAGTTTCCTCAACAGAGGACAGATTTTTCAGGCATCATGTTGCTCGGCGAACTCAACACGGAAAGAAGCTTCCTACTTGCAGAATCACGATTAGAAGGTGACATCAGTCAATCCGTCGAAAACCAACCCCGAAATCCATGCCGCAATAAAGTCCACGGAGATTCTGCCGAAGGTACAGTTATTGGGCTAACAAATTGATTAGCTGCCGCTGCCGCTGCCGCTGCTGCTGCTGCTACTGGAGCAGCGCTTGCTTTTGATTGGAAGTGATGGTCATAGTTCATCAATTCCCCGTCGTCTGCAACTGTTGGGTTGCCAGCCGACTGTTCACGCCCCACGACCGCATGGAAAACATGAAGATGAGCAAGGACCGAGCATATCTACACGAGTGATCTGCTCATTTAAATAGGGCACAGCGGTAGTTGGAGCGAGGCTAGGAAAACACCTTTGAGCTAGCCATCTACGTAGAAGGCATTAATTAAGGCAGGCGTATAAGAGGAGGTAAACGTAAGGACCAATCAGGCTAGTTGGAGGAAATGGCATTAGCGGAAAGAGTCCCCTGAGATGACATCCCTTTCGAATGACGTGGGATGGCCAACCGAATCGGCGCATTGATACCTTTAAACAAATGTCGACGAACTAACGGCAACGAACCACAATCAGGTAATTAATAATTGTGCCAAAAATATATGTCCACTTCTCAACTTTCTTACGGTAATACCTGTTGAAACGCCATCGTTCGCCGCGATAATCATTTCGGGTGGATTATTCTATGGGCTGGGGTCAGCAGCGACCGATGACACATTTCTGCACATTTGCTTAAGCCTACAATCAATCTCCGGAGGCGATGCTTGCGGTAGATTGTATTTAAAATTAGTTTGGTTGTTAAGCAATTATTGCCTACGTGCTTTTCTCAGCTTTAGTACGTATTGTATATTACCCATTATAAGCCGATGATTTTTGGTCGAGTTTCCATTTCTGTAGTGGTACGGAATGTCTGCTTATGGAAAGGTTATACGCATTTTGAAAATTCACATGCAAAATCCACCCACGAATTCCCTGCACACCTCTGCCTCTATCTCCTCTTAGCCCCGTCCGCTGGTATTGGATGGTATTGCAGACGAGGATTTGAAGTGCCTATAAGTAAACACACTAGGTTTGTGTTGAAAATTCTTGGTATATCGCGTATTTGACGTTCGCGACGGATGGCAGTAACAGAAGCATAATGCTTCTACCGAATCAAACACCATCACACACAATAACATAAGAAAGAATGTGACAGAGAAGCACATACCTGTAGATTTTCAAGGTTCCTATATCTAAACGCTGCACAATGGTGGTACAGTTATACGCATTCTTGGAAACTATATTTCGAGTCAGAATCGTTAAACAGTTTCTGGAACTGGTCGTCTGTCAGTGGAACTTCAGGGAGAATGTCATCTGCTTCGACTTCATTGTTCTCGTCATGGATGTGTTTCTCTAAAATCGCATTGTCCTCACTTCCATCCATAACATTACCCAATCAGCACTTATGGAATGATTAGATAATTTCTGATGGAACGTCAAGGCAGGCTTCTTTAACCCACTCCCTAATCGCAACAATGTCAGTTTGTTCAAATTACTAACCTTCGTCAACGCTAAAGTAGACGACGTCATCTATTCCATCTACTGACACTAAGCCTATCTATAAAGTGCTCATTGAAACAAGCATCCAGTTGCTGCATGATTGACGTAATTTCATCGGGAATTAAAGCCATGGACGGCTTCATCTCACGGCATCGTTTCTCCGCGCTCTCAGTTCGGGGTGCCCTAAAAGAATCCCAAACCAGCATAGATGATTTTTTTAAAAGGACCCTGCTTCGCTTTCACCAAACTGTATTAAGCTGGTCTAAAGTGCCACGCTCGTCCATCCATCTTCTTGCGTCAGGCCACAAAATCACGCCAGCCAGAACCATCGCTATTTTAGGCAGCGTCTTACGCTTAACAAATAAAGAACGGTGACAGAGGGGATCCATACGCCATGCACCCTAAAACAATGTGAACCATGACTTCTCGTATCTTCTCGCTTTTACAACAATTGTGTTAGCAGCTTTCTGCTCCATCATGCGATTTGAAGGTATATCAAAGCAGACGGTCTTCTCGTCCATATTTCCAATCCGCTACAGTTCAGAATTGCATTGTGTTCTCAGCTGAAGCACAAACCTTTAGTAACATTCAGATTACTTCGGCAGCTTCTGAGATAGTTTTGTGCTCGTCCGTAGACACCTGTCGAATTGATTCATAACGCGATTGCACCATTCAGATAAAGCAACAAAATTTCACCTGTTCTTAAGGTTGGAAATAAGGATTTTGTTAACATTGTGTGCACCCTGATCCGAATGTTCGTTCGGATAACAATTACTCGGCTGTGTCGTGACTCCATAACCCACTGCTCCAAATCTTCCTACAGTTCAGGAAACATGCTTTCTTGACTACAGGCAATAGTGACAATTCTAACTTTTTCTTTCTCAATTCCATCACTTGCGCTTCATTCACGGTGAAATGGCGTGCAGCCATACACTTATTAGATTGCTCGGCAAACGCGATAACTTTCAAATTAAATCCAGTGACATATGCGCATCGCCTCTGTCCAGACATTGTTTCATCTTTCCACGGCATTGGAAGATCACAAGAAATGTGGGCTTATTCCCTCTCAGCTGGGACATGGGACTTTGCGTTAGCGCTATTTTGGGTAGCGAATCAGAGCGATTATGCATCATCCTAATCGATCCGGTGATTTAAAATCAAAACGCCATCCCACACCGGTGCCCGTGAACTTCACTCTCACTCGCTGTTCTGCTTCATATGTATGAGGCCACTGACCATGAGAAGCGAAGTGTCTGACATACCATTTCAACTTACCCCATATTGTCGGTTGTCTTACCTGTTTTATATGACTTGACATGTAGTCAATACACTGTCCGGTGCGGTGAATATCTGTTCTCACGGCTCTACGCCCTCTTGACCGCAATTATAACATTACGATCACTACAACTGACCAATAGTAAAGCAGCTTTTGCTTGAAAACACTGAAGTGAGAGCAAGTGGTGATGAAGTCAAAGTAGTGGAGAAACAATTTGGTTCATCTTTTCGCTGTTAATTTTACGGGTAGGCTAATTTAGGCCTAAGGAATTTGGACAGATTTGATGATGCAAGGTTATAGTGTCGTGCTTATATTCGGTAATATACGGTATAAACTGCATACAACTGGCGGACAAAACCAGTTCTAGCTTCCGCGCCTTAGCCCTAATAATCATACTACATAGATGTGCCGCGTGAATGCCCGGTAGATTTACAAATTGGTTTTTATCTTTATGATATATAATAGTAAATACTCCAGCGCGGGCATCGTTGATCGTGTCCACAGTTCGGTTCTGCCTATGTGTTTTGTTGACAACAAGTAATCTAGCAGCATGTGAAATCGGATAAACTAAACAGACTTAAGGCGACGGTTTCCGGAGCACCCATAGATATTGGTAATTACTGCTGCGGTCCATTGTTCCTTGTTTGGCAATAAAATGCTCTCCGTAGAGGCGGATGACGTTAGCGCAGATGCTGGTAATATCATCTATCGATTTACTTATCTGTAAATTTCACGTCTTATGGACACAGACTATTATCAATCCTGCACTATTTATGACTGCAAAAGGCCTGCAATCATGTTGCCCAGCTCGGCGTACACCAAAACATCTGAAGAAGTCGCTCGAGCTAACAGTATTTCAAGTAATTATTACAGACACAGAATTACAAGCTTAACGATCTGCGATTTGTCCTTGTCATTTTGTCACTTCAATCTTTCTAGAAAAGCATGACATCAATGGTAAGAAGGTTTTTTTCTGTATTGCAACCCAGGGACTCAAAACTGTGCATCACCAGGGAAGTCCGAATATAGTCCTTCTTCACTTACGCCCATAGAGTAAATTCAAATGATCGAGTCACTTTCTCTGTCTCTACATGGAAGGTACAGTAAGCTCGACCTGAACTGCTTGCGGATGCCAGCACCATTGAACTTAGTTTTTTACCATGTTCCCCTATTTCTCTTTATTTCAACTGTGGGCCTTCTTAGTTAATCACGCCTACAATAAAGTCCCAACACTTAGTTCGGATTTTCGCTAGTTTTCTGTGCCCTGCACACCGAGTGCTTGATCAGAATAACTCACAGTATAGTAATCAAACGGGTTGCAGCAAGCAAAGAGTTGTGAAGTTCACTATGCAGTTCAAGGTTTCATACAAAATAACCTAGCTATTACTTAGGTGATCGCGCCCAGATATAGCAAATATCTGGCGAAATAGAATAACAAACAAACTACGGACACGCGTGTTGGTAAATATAACTGTGTAGCATTATCTCTTAGAGAAATAAATAACATTCAGATAGCGCACCACGCATGATTGACATATGCGGGTATTTCTGAATGGAATTATATACAGGTTGCAACGTGCGTAGGTGCAATCCGTTGCACTAAAGGCACTCAAGAAATGAGCAGCCCCATGTTTCGGACAGTCTTTGCATAACTCGCACTAGAGATAGCCACATCCATTTGATGGAGCGACCATTGCAACTATCCAGTAAGCCGGCTAGTTATACTTCAAAATATAAAGCGGTTAAAATGTCGAACCTGAAGATCCGTTTGTCCGGATTCAAAGTGGATACAAAACAACGTTATCAACCGCATTTAAAGGCCGATTTCATAAGAATTTATTTATTCTATTTTGTATACAGAAATATATTCATTTTTTGAAAATCGATTGTTTCAGCATCACTAAATCTGCATGATGTAGGTTGTCTTCATATGTGGTTAGTCGCATTCTTCTTTCTTTGTGCCTTCTTTAACTCCTCTCTTTTACTCTCCAACGCTTTGTTCACACATCCGTAGTAACAATCATAATAAGCATTTGACAATCCAATGCAATGAAGTGTGCCGGACTCTTTCCCGCAATTAGCATCTGTACTGTCCTTGTACTCCTTGCATTCGTCGTCACAATGTGGATAATCTTGACGGATCGCTTGAATTGTTCCCGCGGCAACCAGAAGTATCGCCTTAATAGGATCAAGTTAGAATGCTTGTATTTGAACATGCGAGAGGCCATACGAAATGTTAAGCAAGTATGAATGATAAAACTTGATACCTAATCTTTAGTATCTACATCTAATTTCACCAATAAAGATGAAAGAAGCAATAGGTCATCAGTCAACAAGTTGCAAAATTCACTGACATCGGGAAACCCGCTTTTGACGGTAAACGGATATTTGTTTTGCTATGACAACAAAGTCCTCAATCTAATTATTTTGCCGACGTTGTTTTCTGTGGTGAGGGGGGAGGGTTTAGAGCTAACTGACAATCGCTAATGTGTTTTTGACAGACATACCATGTGTTTCCTCTTTTGAACTCATATCACATGTGGATCTAAATCCCTTCTCATCTAACTGAAACAAATAAGTGACCTACGTAGATGGACCATAAACGTGCACGCGAGCTTCCCTCAGTATTTGCTTTCGATCTTATATTACTAATCATATAATCCATTCGATTATGTAACAATAAGACGACGAGGACTTGACCAAGCGAGAGTAAAGCAGTGTACCGGCCTTCAGCGAAGATAATTTAAACGAAGTTTAACAAGTATAGCTCATAACTCACGTTGTTTACCTTGATTTAGTATATGTTGCTTTGTTGATATCTTTTGTGAAAACATTCATGCGGTGACTTGTGAAGCTTGCCAGTTTTGTGAAAGTAAGTTGCAAATTAATACTACGAGACGCACACCATTTGGGCATTTAAGGGGATCAAAGATAAAAGAATTAATTCATAAACATAGTGCCAGTTACTTGATTTACAGCTAGTTCGATCCTGCATTAGAACGCATTGATTAATGCATTCATTGATCTCTCAGTGAACTTGGCATTACCGCTAATTACCAAGCAACTGTATTTTCCGACATTAAGCTGGTGACGAGAAAAGTTTAAACATACATTGTTCCATTATAAAATGAGGTCGCTTTGTTCGATACTGATCAATGTCAAGATGATAAGCGAAAGGAAACTTATCCACCTGCTATTGCGAGAGCAAATACGGTGCTGTAAAGTAAGGTGCACCTACAGACGACTGATTATTGTAGTTTTGAATGACCTGAATTCGCCTTCGACTCTGCTGATTAATGTTGTCACTTGTATTCCTCATCGTCCTAGAAATGATCAATAATTATGATGGCCTTTCAGGTCAGTCCAGACAAAAATTTCTGACAGTTTATCGACTGACAAACTTTGAATATGCGTACGACATATCTCTGTCGGCGTCTGATGCGGTAGGTATGCAAGCACTACTGAATGGAATGACACAACGCTGCACGAATTGGCACGTGCTGCGCACCCCCAAAATTCCAAGGATTGTCGCAGGACTGGACCGATACGCCACGGTTCTAGATACCAGTTAACGGACACTCGAAGTGGCGGATCATTTCTGTATGTTAGTAGTCGTGATATTGCTTTTATTCATATCAGTGGGGAGGTTGTTTTGCGTTACCACAGTGCCCGTAGATATTTCATGCGGTTAAGTCATCTATGGAGAGGGCGGCATAGCGGCTAGTGAGTGAAAGGCCGTGTAACACCACGATACGCCTGTTGAAACTGTTTATTTCAGTGATGTCACAGTTCTTACTTAGGACTTTAAACGAGTGATTTTTTTGATCACCGTTATTTACGGAGTGTTGACCACATCTGGTGAGAATACCAAGTGAGTAATACTGAGGTCTGTTAGTTGGTTGCTGACAAAAAGCGGTCAGATGTCTCCTTCGAGTGTTTGCTTAAGATCAACCTCTGTAGTTGGTTAGGTTATGTCCTGCATATGCCTTTGGATCTCGTTCTTCGGTGTACGTTTATTCGATTTCGCTGCACTTGGGTTCACGGAAATCGCAAGGTGACGTGTCATAATGACTGGAAAAAATTGTTTGAGTACTGGATCGGGCTACTGCCTACCGCCTTGTTTAATGGGCGCCCACGGATGGTGCAGACCAGTAGTTGGTGAGCCTATCGGACATGGCGCAATCACTCAAGCAGTGGCGTACCAGTATCCGCTATCTTGCATTAAGCAGTTAATTTCCTTGCCATTCCGATTGTTTCATTCCAATACTTGCCTGATGTCTATTTTGTATTCAATGTGCACGCAACCTCCTAAGATTACCGAATTGATTTAATATTTGTCTGGCGACGCGAGTCGTAAAAATTGGTTCCACCAGGCTTCGGTGCCCGGAGCATAGCTATTAAAAATTGGTGAACTGACTGAACCGAATAGACACATCGATTCTTGGTTGCTTTATCATGACAAACTGCTATGTTATCTAACTTACACAAATGTGGTCACCTAAGCACAAGAAATAATATCATATATAAACAGCAATTGATCGATTAGCGAACGTACCAGTATGAAGATACTGCAGCTCATTATTGATTGCGCAATGCACCTTGCAATGTTTCAACGAATAATTTGTGTTGAAACCTGTGTCCATATATATGTTTTCGCTTGCGACGCGTTAGCTTACAAGCGTATAAGCGCATCCAGTTCGTGATTGGATGGTCAGCGCATTGTTACCGATTACCTCCCAATAGTGGGCTGACGAATTACATGTAGCTCTGTGTGTATGCGATTGGCAAGCGGCCAATCAAATCAAAAAGAAAAGCAACCTGAACGCGTCCGAAAGTCTACTCTATGAAACATGAGAACTGATTTGTAATGATAAATAAGCAAGCACTTGACGGATCAAGTGCATGACTGGAGCTAATATTACAGAATAAAGGGTTAAACTAGTAGTAATAAGGGAAAGAAAACATTCTGAGCTAGGTTACGTAGAGCGCTGGATGACACACTGTTTGGTTCGCGTTATTCCATCTTCCAATGGAAGTGTCTGGAACACGTAGTGGAAACAGGATAGAGATTCGTAAATATCTTTTGAAAATCGAACATGTAGGGTAAAAATTGAAATGAGATGGAAGAGCATTTTACATCCGGCATAGCCGAATGGAGGGAGGATTTGTCCACGATTACTTTGACTTAGAATTGGTGTCCTTCGGTGTTAGCGCTGTGGCGGACCCTTCAAATTTAACCGTGCTGTGAAAGTACTGCCGATTGAACGTAACAATACTTTCGCTTTTATGTGTTATATCTGAATGAAGCCATATTTATCGCAAAAATATTGTTTAATGAATAAAAACCAATCGGTTTTCTCGCATGATTTAAAGCATTTGCGTGTTTTCAAGCTTAAAAACATTATTTTGCTTCGACCATAGATCACAAAACATCGAGTTGCTTGGAGTGGTGCAATGTGGGGAACAAACGCCAAGCGTACGCGTACTGCATTTTCCTCAATGCTTATATCCGATTGCTTGTTGGAAAGTTAGATAAGAAATCTCTTAGGGATTTTCGTGAATTTTCTTAATAAGGCGCCGTTATGCTACGACAAACTTGGCTTCAAGCTAACAGTACAATGCAGCTGCGAATCTCTTTGGACTTCTCTCATATCCTGTTGACAGCCTGTACACCAAAAGGAACCGATGGGAAGGCGTTATCACTTACATCAACTATTAATGATGCAAGTAAAAGAAAGACATTTTCGTTGCAGCTGGCAATGTAAAAGTTGTCTAATCGGAGATGTAGACCAAAATACCTGAACGGCTATCGTTGAAAATTTGCTGCCAAATATTTTAATCAACTTGGCCGTCTCAGCCCTGAAGATGAAGAATTTTACCACGGAATTTAAAATCTCTTGTCATTGAATACCTGGCGTTTTCGTTGCCCATGGTTGCTGACGAGTTTAACAAATCTGGTGCGGGTCCGTCACATATCTTTCGCCAAATAACAAATGCTTAATCCGTATACATTGTCCCATGTGGAGTACGTGCGTCAGACATTGCACTCATGGCTAAAACGAGATCCGGCTGCACCCGTGACCTCACAGCCAAACGCAACAAAGGAACGGTAGAGGCTTGTTTCATCAGCCGTAGGGTCTATGCCTACGAGTGTACAGCGGCCGTCAATTAGTTGACCGCATTCTGACTTATTAGGTTTTGTTGAATCTGAAGCACGTTTGCCGCATCCTCATTAAATGTTGCAGTGAAGAATAACTGAGCGGTCACCATTTGTAACTGACCACCCAATACAGCCGACATAAATGATGTCGTAATTTCCATTCCTTCTGAATTTGCCAACCGTGGAATACCTTACCGATGTTGGACATTTGGGCGCCCACCTAGCCCGTACTTGTAGCCGAACCCATGTTAGTATCAAAGCATTCTGCACATGGAATT